TGTGTTCATCCAGCTCTGCACCTTGTTATCTCAGATTCTCCAGCATCTGCAGTTCCTGCTATCACCCTACCACTAATCTGTTTTTATTTCCCCAACATTCAAAATCAAGTGAAGAGGGACAGCTTCCAAATTGGCCCTAATGGAGGGATTAGTGAGCCTTTATTATGTAGAGATGTTTCCACAGAACTTACACAGGGCAGCATCATTTCCACTCCAGTAAGGATCCACTAAACTCCATCTTGTAGCTCAATCTCACAACTAGAATCATAGAATGATGTAGGATGGAAGGAGGCCATTTGGTCCATATTGGCTGCACTATTCAGCCTGCTTTGCTGCCTTGTCCCTTGACAGTATATGGGCCATGCACCAATTCTGAAGACTTTGCTGAACTCGTCATTTTGATTGAAGAGATTGTGAGTCTGTGGGTAACTTTAACCTTTCAGATATTGGTGATGAGCTCAGTGGGAACTCTGCGACTTCAGTATAATTCCTGTATTTAGCCAAGGTAACCTCCCAGTGTAGTTCTTTCAAATCAGTTCAGATGTGGAGGTGCCAGTGTTGGACTGGGGTGCACAAGGTAAAAAATCACACGACACCAGGTTATAGTCCAACAGGTTTATTTGAAGCCCCAAGCTTTCAGAGTCTCGCTCCTTCTCCAGTTCTATACAGGGTCAACAGACTCTGTCTCTGAGCTTCCAGTTCATTTTCTCACAGTAAACCTTTGTGTAAAATTTGCAGATAAGTACAGAACCCAGCATGTCACAGGGTACAATCTGACTGTTGAGATTGATGACTGTTTGCTTGGCTTGCTCTTTCAGACCCTAATGTGCTGAGCCAGTTTCCTGAAGATTACAGTGACCAGGTAAGTGGCATTCTTTCTCTAATTTTGTACGTTACTGCTTCAGCATCAAACTAATTCGTTAGTGAACTAGTTGATGATTAGACCACCAACTGATGGAGGGGCGCAAGTATCTGCTGTACTTTTGTACTAATTATGAGCTCCTGTTTCAAAACATGGAAATTACATTGAAGTATGAACTGTGATAGATTTTAAGATTGTTTTAGGCCTAACAACTATTGTTGGAAAAGTATTGGAATCTATTATTAAGGAAGTAATCGCAGAACAATTGGAAAATCATAATCTAATCAAGCAAAGTCAGCACGGCTTTGTGAAAGGGAAGTTGTGCCTGACTAATTCATTTGTGTTTTCAAGGAAGTCTCAACCAGAGTGGATAGAGGGTAACCTGTAGATGTGTTGTATTTGGAGGTAGTGTATTGACATGCAGAGAGAATGAGCTCATGGGCAGGTAACAGCAATGGAGATAAGGGTTTCTTTTTCAAGGTGGTGTAATGTGATCAGTGGGGTTCCACAGGAACCAGTGCTGGGACCACAATTGTTCACAATATATTAATGACTTAGAGGAAGGAAGTGAAAATACTGTAGCCAAATTTGCACACAACACAAAAATAGGTAGAAAGACAGGATGTGAGAGGGGTACAAACAGTTTACAGAAAGATAGTTACAGGTTAAATAAGACCATAAGACCATAAGGCATAGGAGCAGAAATTAGGCCATTCAGCCCATCGAGTCTGCTCTACCATTCAATCATGGCCAATAAGTTCCTCAACCCCATTCTCCCGCTTTCTCCCCGTAACCCTTGATCCCTTTGATAATCAAGAACTGATCTATCTCAGTCTTAAATGTACGCAATGACCTGGCCTCCACAGCCTTCTGTGGCAGTGAGTTCCATAGATTCACCACTCTCTGGCTGCAGAAGTTTCTCCTCATCTCCGTTCTAAAAGGTCTTCCCTTTACTCTAAGGCTGTGCCCTCGGGTCCTAGACTCTCCTACCAATGGAAGCATCTTCCCAACATCCACTCTGTCCAGGCCATTCAATATCCTGTAAGTTTCAATTTGATCCCCCCTCATCCTTCTAAACTCCAATGAGTATAATACCAGAGTCCTCAAACGTTCCTCATATGTTAAGCTTTCCATTCCTGGCACCATTCTCGTGAACCTCCTCTGAACCCGCTGCAGGGCCAGTACATCCTTCCTGAGATATGGGGCCCAAAACTACTCCAAATGTGGCCTGACCAGAGCCTTATAAAGCCTCAGTAGTATATCCCTACTTTTATATTCAAGTCCTCTCAAAATAAATGCCAACATTACATTTGCCTTCCTGACTACTGACTCAACCTGCAAGTTTACCTTGAGAGAATCCTGGACTAGAACTCCCAAGTCTCTTTGTACTTCAGACTTCTGAATTTTCTCTCCATTTAGAAAATAGTCCATGCTTTCATTTTTCTTACCAAAGTGCATGACCTCACACTTTCCCACGTTGTACTCCATCTGCCACTTCTTTGCCTACTGTCCTAACCTACCAAATCCTTCTGCAGCTTCGCCACCTCCTCAATACTACCTGTCCCTCCAACTATCTTTGTATCGTCTGCAAACTTAGCCAGAATGCCCACAGTTCCTTCATCTAGATCATTAATGTACAAGGTGAAAAGTGGTGGTCCCAGCGCTGACCCTTGCAGAACACCACTTGTCACCGTCTGCCATCCTAAGAAAAACCCCTTTATCCCCACTCTCTGCTTTCTGCCAGACAGCCAATCTTCTATCCATGCTAGCACCTTGCCTCTAATACCATGGGCCCTTATCTTACTCAGCAGCCTCCTGTGCGGCACCTTATCAAAGGCCTTCTTGAAGTCCAGGTAGATAACATCCATTGGCTCTCCTTGGCCTACCCTGCTCGTTACTTCCTCAAAGAATTCCAGCAGATTTGTCAGGCATGACCTCCCCTTGATGAAACCATGCCGACTTTGCTGTACTTTACCATACACTTCCAAATATTCAGAAATCTCATCCTTTACAATGGACTCCAAAAATCTTACCCACGACCGAGGTTAGGCTAATCGGCCTGTAATTTTCCATCTTTTGCCTTACTCCTTTTTTAAACAGGGGTGTCACGTTAGCAATTTTCCAGTCCTCTGGGACCCTCCCTGACTCTAGCGATTCCTGAAAGATCACCACTAACTCTTCCACTATCCCTTCAGCTATTTCCTTTAGAACTCTGGGGTGTAGTCCATCTGGTCCAGGTGATTTATCCACCTTCAGGCCAATCAGTTTTACTAGCACCTTTTCCTTGGTGATGGCCACCATACTCATCTCTGCCCCCGACTCTCTTGAATTATTGGGATATTACTCGTGTCTTCCACCGTGAAGACTGACGTGAAGTAATTATTCAGTTCCTCAGCCATTTCCTTGTTCCCCACTACTATCTCTCCACCATCATTTTCCAGTGGTCCAATGTCCACTTCTGCCTCTCTTTTGCCCTTTATATATCTAAAGAAACTCTTACAGTTTTCATTTACATTACTAGCTAGCTTACCCTCATATTTAATCTTCTCCCTCCTTATTTCTTTTTTAGTTGCCCTCTGTTGGTCTTTAAGCTTCCCAGTCCTCTGGTTTCCCACTGCCCTTTGCCACATTATATGCTTTCTGTTTTGCTTTTATGCTATCCCTGACTTCCTTAGTCAGCCATGGTTGCCTCATCCTCCCTGTACCATGCTTCTTTTTCCGAGGGATGAATTTTTGCTGCGTCTCCTGAATTACTCCCAGAAACTCCTGCCATTGCTGTTCCACTGTTTTTCCTGTTAGGCTTCTCTCCCAGTCAGTTGTGCCCAACTCCTCCATCATGCCTCTGTAGTCGCCTTTATTCAGCTGTAATACCATTACCTCTGATTCTATCTTCTCCCTCTCAAATTGCAGAGTAAATTCAATCATACAATGATCAGTGCCTCCTAAGGGTTCCTTCACCTTAAGCTCCCTTATCAAGTCTGCCTCATTGCACAACACTAAATCCAGTATTGCCTGTTCCCTTGTGGGCTCCACCACAAGCTGCTCCAAAAACCCATCTCGTAGACATTCCACAAACTCTTTTTCTTGAAATCCACTACCAGCATGATTTTCCCAGTGCACCTGCGTATTGAAATCCCCCATGATCACTGCGACTTTGCCTTTCTTACACACCTTTTCTATCTCCTGGTGTATCTTGCGCTCCAGCTCCTGACTACTGTTTGGAGGCCTGTGCACAACTCCAACTATGGTTTTTTTACCTTTGCGGTTCCTCAATTCTACCCACACAGATTCTACACCATCAGACCTACTTCGTTTCTTCCTATTGATTTAATTTCATTTCTCACTAATAAGGCAACCCCGCTCCCTCGGCCTACCTGCCTACCTTTTCGATAGGATGTATATCCTTGCATATTCAGGTCCCAATCCTGATCCCCTTGCAGCCATGTCTCCGTGATGCCCACCACATCATACCTGCCAATTTCGATCTGCACCACAGACTCATTTACCTTATTCCTTATACTGCGTGCATTCAGATATAACATCTTCAGTCCTATATTAACTGTCCCTCTTCTCATTGTCATTCATTTTTCCAGTGTTTGATTGCTAGCCCTTTCCAAACACTGTCCTATTTGTGTCTGTGCTGGAGACTTTAATAACCTCTCCTGAGTTCTCCTTCTCTGTCATTTCTTTCATATTTTTCCACGTAGTTGAATCCACCACTACAGATGTTAACCTGCTGCTTTGTTTCCCACTGGGGCAAGTTTCACTATTCCCTTCCCCCCGACTTTCTAGTTTAAAGTCCTGTTGACTAGCCTATTTACCCTTTTCACTAGAACATTGGTCCCAGCTCGATTCAGCTGGAGACGGTCTCAGCAGTACAGATCCCTCCTGTTCCAATACTGATGCCAGTGCCCCATGAAAAGGAACCCCTCTTTCCCGCACCACTCTTTTAGCCACGTGTTTACTTCCCTTATCCTCATGTCCCTATGCCAATCAGCATGTGGCTCAGGCAGTAAGCTGGAGATTATAACCCTTCAGGACCTGTTCTTTAATTTGGTTCCTCGCTCCTGATAATCTCTGAACAGGTCCTCTTTCCTAATCTTGTCTATGTTGTTTGTTCCGGTGTGGACTACAACAACTGGATCCTCCCCCTCCCGCTCCAATATCCTTTCAAGACAGTCAGAGATATCCCTTACCGTGGCACCAGGCAGGCACACCATGTGGGACTCTCAATCCTGTTTACAAAGGATACTATCTATCCCCCTAATTATAGAATCCCCTACAACTACCATCCGTCTTTTTGCTACCCCCTCTTGCATGGCCTCTCGTACCACAGTGAGTGGTCAGTTGGCTCATCCTCCCTGCAGTCCTTACCTCATCCACACAGGGAGCAGGTACCAAGTACCACGTACCTGTTGGACAAGGTCAAGAGCTGAGGCTCCTCTGTTCCTGAATGCAGGATCCCTCTATCTGCCTCACTTACAGTCACACTCTGCTGTCCCTGGCCACTGACCAAATTCGAATTACTTAATCTACCAGGTGTGACTGCCTCCTGAAACAAAGCGTCCAGGTACTTCTCTCCCTCCCGAATGTACCGCAGTGTTTGAAGCTCCGATTCCAGCTCATCAACTCTGAGCCGAAGTTCCTCGAGCAATCAACATTTGCTGTAGATGTGGTCACTGCAGTTCGCAATGGGATCAGCTAGCTCCCACATCATACAGCTACAACACATCACCTGTCCAGCCATTTCTACTTAGTTAATTACTTAATTTATATAATTTATTGTAACGAGTTAATTAAATTTGTTGATACTTTCCTCCCTCCAACAGCTTCCCGCCAAAAAAAAGCAAAAAAAAGGAAACAAAATTCCCTCTACTCTAGATTGCCAAAAGAATAAAGAAAAAAGAATCTTACCTTACCTTACCGACCCTCCACACAGTCTTTTTTTTGGATAGAGGAGGAGGATGGGTGGGAGACACTACACGTGTACTGTTTCATGTTTAGACAATGCCCGAATATAATAGTTCACTTCCCGGCTCGCGCTCTCACCACTCCCGCCACTCAAATCAAGAAATAAGTGTGCAAAACATTGGCAAGTGGAGTATAATGTGGGAAAATGTGAAGTTGTTAATTTTGGAAGGGAGAACCAAAGAACAGAATGTTATTTAAATGGAAAGAAACTGCAGAAAGCTGCAACACAGAGGGACTTGGGGATAGTTGTACATGAAACACAGACACACAGGGTGCAGCAGGTAATCAGGAAGGATAATGGAATGTTGGCCCTTATTTCAAGGGAGTCAGAGTATAGGAGTAGGGAAGTCTTACAGCAACTGTACAAGGTGCTGGTGAGACCACATCTGGAGCACTTCGAGCAGTTTTGGTTCCTTTATTTAAGGAAAGATATTATTTTGTTGGACGCAGTTCAGAGAAGGTTCACTAGGATGATCCCCGGTTTGGAAGGATTGTCTTATGAGAAAAGGCTGAACAGGTGGGACTGTACTCACTGGAGTTTAGAAGAATGAGAGGTGATCTCATTGAAACTTATAAGATTCTTAGTAGACTTGACAGGGTAAATGCTGAGAGGATGTTTATCCTCATGGGAGAGTCTGGGACTAAAGAGCATAGTCTCAGAATAAAGGAGTGTCAATTTAAGACTGGGATGAGGAGGACGTTTGTCCTCCAGAAGGTTGTAAGTCTTTGCCACAGAGAGCTGTTGGTGCAGAGTCCTTTTGTATATTTAAGACTGAGCCAGATAGATTCTTAATCAGAGATAGTAGGAACTGCAGATGCTGGAGAATCTGAGATAACAAGGTGTAGAGCTGGATGAACACAGCAGGCCAAGCAGCATCAGAGGAGCAGGAAGGCTGACGTTTCGGGCCAGGGAATCAAGGGTTATACAGAAAGGGCAGGAAAATGAGGAATATCAGAGCAGCCATGATCCTTTTGAATGGTGGACCAAGTTAGTGGCTGTAATGCCTATTCCTGTACCTATTTCTTATGGTGTTATGAGTCATGTAAAGTAGTTGTTGATTATAACACTGTTTTGTTATCTTGTGTGTGAATTGATTTATGAATATATACGCAGTGCTAATGAGGGAATTCTACCACATTACAGTTAAACGCAGAGTGCCTGGCTGACTGGTGTCTCAGTGCTATCTCCTACTCCTTTATAACAGGGTTGTTAAATGGGAATTCTTCACCTTCTTTAGTTTTATCCATTTATCCCGCAATCTTGTTTTATTGAAACTCTCCCCAGTTCGCTCATCCACACATTTATCTTGAAACTGGGCAGTAAAGGTCCAACTTTAACTCTAATTGGACAAGTTTCATATGATTTAAAACTCATAATAAATTGTCAGCAGGTTATATGACCAGGGAGGCATGAACAGTCATTGAATCATAGAGCTGTGCAGCATGGAAGCAGACCCTTCGGCCCAACTTGTCCATGCCATCCAGATAACCTAAATTAATATAGTCCCATTTTCCAGAATTTGGCCCATATCCCTCTAAATCCCTCCTATTCATGTACCCATCCAGATGTCCTTTACATATTGTATTTTAAACATTTCCACCAATTCCTCTGGCAGTTCATTCCAGACATGCACCACCGTCAGTGTGAAAATGTTACCCCACAGGTCCTTTTCAAATCTTTCCCCTCTCACCTTAAACCTATGTTCTCTAGTTTTGGACTCCCCCACCCTAGGAAAACGACCTTGGCTATTCACCCTATCCATGCCCCTCATAATTTTATAAATCTCTACAAGGTCACCCTTCAGCCTCCAATGCTCCAGGGAAAAAAAGCCCCAAGCTATTCAACCTCTCCCTATAGCTCAAACCCTCCAGTCCCGACAACATCTCTTTTTCTGCACTCTCTCAAGTTTAACAACATCCTTCCCATAGAAGGACGACCAGAATTGTACACAGTATTCTAAAAGTGACCTCACCAGTGTCCTGTACAGCCACAACCTGACATTCCAACTCCTACACTCAATGTTCTGACCAATGAAGGCAAGCATGCAAAATGCCTTCTTCACTTCCCTGCCTTCCTGTCACTCTACTTTCAAGGAACTATGCACCTGCACTCCAAGGTCTCTTTGTTCGGCAGCACTCCCCACGGCCCTACCATTAACTATATAAGTCCTGCCCTGGTTTGCCTTACCAAAATGCAATACCTAACATTTATCTAAATTAAACTCCATCTGCCACTCCTTGGCCCATTAGCCTATCTGATCAAGGCCCCATTGTAAACTTATTGTCACATCCTACAATATACATGCAGTCTTTGAAAACGCTAGACAGTAAACTAGAGTGGGGCCCAGGGATCAAATCCAGGGACATCTGGCTCAGTGTCACAGTGACCTGAGCCAACAGAGTCCCAGACACAAACACACACTAACCTGATATGTTATTGACAGCAGTTCTTAAACATGAATGTAAGCCTGTTTTTCTCTCACAGGAATCTCTACAGAGCCTGCCCAAATTCTGCTTTCCTTTTGATGTGGAACGGTAAGAATGAACTCTGGGGTTTGGGGCTAAGTGTCATGTCCTTGAACTTCCTCAGTCTCAGGCCAGCTTCAGATCCTCATTGAAATCAAGTTGAAGGTCAGGTCTCAGTCAGTTTCTGTTGGGTGCAATACCACAACAAACAGTGACAGGTTAAACCAGGGTTTAATTTCCTCTTAAATATTCCTTTTTACACTAAATTAACTCCATAAAACGTTTACAGATTAATATTCAACCTGAAGATATTGAACCCAGGAGACAGCAATTTAATATTGTCATGAGGAGAGTAAGTGTGAGAGGGAGAGACGGAAACAGCTCTTTATTATTGGAATGCTTCACCACAGGGAGTGGCTGTGACTAGGACTATTATAGAATTTAATGGAGAGTTCAAGCCAAGGAAGATGCAGAGCTTTAGGAGGAGGACTGGAATGTGGAAATAATGTCAGATGACTGTAGCAAAGAACATACATGGACAGGATGGACTGAATAACGATTTTCGATGCAGGAAACTGCTGTGGTCAAACCAAACCCATAAAAGGGCAATCTGAGAAAAGAGAAGCACCAATGGGCTGGTGGCAGGGAAACTGGAGAAGCCAACATTGAAAAAGAGTGTGTGCTTCAGGTGTTTTGACACAAAAGCTTTATTCTACACCTACCTTAGGCAAACTGAGAATGTTTGGAATTCTCTACCACACAGAGCTGTGGAAGCTCAGTCTTTGAGTATGTTTAAGGTAGAGATTGATGGATCTCTCATTACAATGGTATAAAGAATTATGGTGGTAATGTGGGTAAAAAGCATTGAAGTGTTTCATTAGTCATAATCATATTAAATGACAGAGCAGGTTCAATGGGCTGAATGGCCCACTTCTGGTCTTATGTTCCAATGTTTGATAGAGCAGTTGAAAAACTGGTTATTTCCACAGCATGCCAGCAATCTCTATGTAATATGTTATGAAACTACATACCAACAATATAACAAGATAGTCTTGAGTTTATTCAACTATTCTGCTAATTCAACATTTTGTGTGCAGAAGACTGGGAGTTAGTGGGGTTGCATTTTTTAGTCGCACTGTATTTGTTTAACATCAGTTTGTGATAGCATATTAGTGAGATAACTTGTTTAGTGCAGAGGGCATTCATACTGGACTAAGACTAGAGTTTGATTCTGGATTGTGTATATCTGAAAGTTCATTCTTTTTCTTCAATCCTGGATTAAAAAGATTTTGACTAAGAATTAGGTACTATTTTTGTGAAGGCTGATTAACTTTTATGATTTTGTCTTGCTTGCCATCCTGTTATTAAAGTTGACCCTGACTGGAAGTTGGGTGATACTGATAGGCTGGAGAATATTGTCATTATAATTCTCCTGAGCCACATTCACCCCATGCTGATACACTCCTTTAGATTTATTCGTATTGGGTAAGCTGTTTATTCATATCTGAACCAGGACTCAAAGTGCATTCTGACAGACACTGACTGTGAACACTGGAAGGCTATTTAACCATGGGGCTTTATAGCCCAGCCATCCTGTCTTTGTCCAAAAGACACACAGACTAATTTTGCCACAGCAGCCATCAGGCATATCCACATAACTTACAATGGTGAGTGTTCTGATGTGCCAGCTCACTGGCCAAATGTGCTGATAATTGAATGGATCTCCAGTGTGTATGGAATGGTAGTTTAACCCTGACTTTGTAATGAGACCATAAAGTAATATTTGAATGGACGGCATGAGGCCCTCTGATGAGTTAGTTATTGGGTTACAAACCTGATTCTGGATGGTAACGTGTGAACTCACTATATGAGCTGTCAATCATGTGTGTGTTTGGCAGGGTATGGGAGAGCTCAGTCGTCCAGCAGTTCACCTTCGTGCTGACAGATCTAGATGGAAACCAGCGGTTTGGCTTCTGCCGGCTGACTGGGGGGTCAAAGACGTGCATCTGCATCCTCAGGTAAGACCCTCAATAAAGCACAGTGACAACTAGCCAATCTGTTTCAGGGCTGGTGTAGTGTTCAAGCAACATTAAAGATTGAGACAGTTGTAGGTCTGAACAAGACAGTGGTTTTATTAAAAACAATGAACACAGAACACAGTTTGTGGAGAGACCGCTTCTCTGATCATAGATGATTTTACATAGTTATGTATTTTGTAATCATGTTGGTATGTGCGTGCTCTTTATCCAATTACTACAATCTATTCCAGGACTTTGCATTTTTCTGTGAAACTGGATGAATTTCTAGTTGATGCCTTTTACAATGACCACATCCGTTTTAAGGCTAATCAATCCTCTGCCTCCTACATTTCACAGTGATCATGTCTCTTAGTGTTGTAAAACAAGTTTCCACTCTGAGTTAGTAAGAACTGCCGATACTGAAGTCTGAGATAACACAATGTGGAGCTGGAGGAACACAGCAGGCCAGGCAGCATCAGAGGATCAGGAAAACTGACGTTTCGGTTCTGGGGGAGGGGAAGGGGGCTCTGAAATAAATAGTGGGCTGGGAAAGGTATGTGGGATGGTGATAGCAGGTAGGTAGTGGTGGGGATTGGTCAGTGAGGTGGGAGGAGCGGATAGGTGGGAGAGAGAGGTGGGTTAAGGAGGCGGGTATGAGAGGGAGGGTTGGTCTTGGGATGAGGCTGGGGGTGGGGAGATTTTGAAGCTAGTAAAGTCCACATTGAGACCATTGAGTTGTAGGGTTCCAAGGCGGAATATGAGGTGCTGCTCCTCCAGTTTCCGGGTGGCATCATTGTCTCACTGAAGAAGGCCCAGGATGGACATGTCACCCAGGGAGTCGGAGGGGGAGTTGAAGTGGTTCGCGACTGGGAGGTGTTGTCATTTGTCATGTACCGAGTGTAGGTGGTCCACAAAGCAGTCTCCGAGCCTCCGCTTGGCTTCACCGATGTAGAGGAGGCCACATCGGGAACAGCGGATACAATATACCACATTAGCGGATGTGCAGGTGAACATCTGTTTAATGTGGAAGGTTTTTCTGGGGCCTGGGATGGGAGTGACAGGGAAGGTGTAGGGGCAAGTGTAGCACTTCCTGCAGTTGCAGGGAAAGGTGCCAGGGGGTGGTGGGGCTAGTGGGGAGTGTGGAGCGGACAAGGGAGTCACGGAGAGAGTGGTCCCTCCGGAAGGCAGATAAGGGTGGGGAGGGAAATATATCCTCCATAGTGGGGTCAGATTGCAGGTGGCGGAAGTGGCTGATGATGCATTGAATCCGAAGGTTAATGGAGTGATACGTGAGGACAAGGGGAATTCTGTCTTTGTTTTTATTTCAGGGAGGGGGTGTGAGGGCTGAGGTGTGGGAAACGCAAGAGATGCGGTCGAGGGCGTTTTGGACCACTGAGGGGGGGGAGTTGCAGTCCTCGAAATACGAGGACATCTGGGATGTTCGAGAGTGGAACACCTCATCCTGGGAGTAGATGCGGCGGAGGCGGAGGAATTGGGAGTAGGGGTTTGCAGTCTTGCAGGAAGGTGGGTGAGAGGAGGTGTAGTCTAGGTAGCTGTGGGAGTCGATAGGCTTGAAATAGATATCAGTTTCAAGGCGGTTACCAGAGATGGAGATGGAAAGGTCCAGGAAGGAGAGAGAGGTATCAGAGATTGTCCTGGTGAACTTGAGGTTGAGGTGGACTGTGTTAGTGAAGTGGATGAACTGTTCGAGCTTCTCGTGGGAGCACGAGGCGGCGCCGATACAGTCATCGATGTAACGGAGGAAGAGGTGGGGATAGTGCCAGTGTAGCTTTTTTAAGTTAAATCTGTCTCAAACTGTTAGTTACATATCACCCCTTCTATAAGCCTGGCTAGTAATTTCTGCATCAATATCTCCCATAAGTGCCATTGTTTTTTGCCAGGAATATGACCACAAGAAGAAGAAACCCACCCTCAGTCCCTTCAAATAGGGAATCTCTACCACATTGATGTAGGAGATCCCAGTTTCACAGTTCTGACGAAGCGTCACTGGACTTGAAACATTAAATGTGTTTTTCTTCCTGCTGATGTTGCCAGACCTGCTGAGTTTTTCTAGCATTTTCTGTTTTTGTCCCAATTTCACATTGTGTCTAAATGAAGGCTTCAGCAATAATTTACTGCTGCCAGGAGAGCTGGTTTAAACCACAAATCACCTAACATGCACTGATAATGTGTAAGAAAGTGTCTATCACATCCCTGGGGAGAGAGGAGTGTGCAAGACTCATCCCTGGAAAGAGAGGAGTGTGAGAGATTCATCCCCGGGGATAGAGGAGTGTGAGACTCATCCCTGGGAAGAGAGGAGTGTGAGAGACTCATCCCCGGGGAGAGTGGAGTGTGAGATTCATCCCCAGGGAGAGAGGAGTGTGAGACTCATCCCTGGGGAGAGAGGAGTGTGGGAGACTCATCCCCGGGGAGAGAGGAGTGT